TAAAATAGTTTTGTTTGCTGTTTTTATTATTATTATTAAGGCGCATTTATTATACATATTATTATAATTATACTTTCGGGGAGTTGTTCTTGAAATACTTTCGAAAATGCTTGTTGGGCGAAAGTACGAGTATAAGGAACGCATACATACCCATGCACTTGTGAATATGTGTGTATTCGCAGGTCTGCGACGCCTATTTCCTGATGTTTGAAGTGAGAATTTCCTACCAATAAAAAAGGAACGTAAGTAGCAAGAAACGGAATTTTAAATGCAACCGAAGAGTCCATTAATTTTTGGTGTAAATAGAAAAGGAATTTTTTGGTGCATTGAAGTCAACGGCTAGCTATGCAGTTAACTGTAGTGGTCTAGTATGCGGAGTTAATTCATACATACTTATATACAATCTATACTAACTAACAACCTATTGAGAAGAAACGATAAGGACCTAAGTTATTATCTTAAAAATTTTTTTGAGCAATAAACAAATTTTAGACATACGTTTAAAAGACCATTGTTTAATTGGGTGCCCAATTTAGAAGGAAGCACACACCATTGAGACACTTATACTCGCCTTTAATGTTATAATGATAATACATTATTTTTAATACGGATAGGAAATAAGTGATACATTATTTGTATTACAAATTTTATTTACATTCAATGTAACTTATTTAAACAAAAAAAACTGCCGTGGAATCGATGTCGGATTGGGTGCTGCAATGATTCTACTGTATCGAATCCTGCAGAATAAAGACGCTTGCGGAGGCTGTGTCATTATTTTCCCGGGTTGGACGGCGTATTGGAGGGGGAGTTTATACTCATTTAAACAACCATAATTATATTGATGTAATTTCTATATTAACAGTTATTTTTTGTATCTAAATAGGGGAGGGAAATCTACTTTTCGCTATTATATTGCTTTCATTATTTTTTCCCTACTTAAGATTGTAACCAACCTTTTAAAATGGGGCCTTGAAGCCATTCTAAAGTTTTGTGAATACCCTTGTTTACTAAACCAAATTATTAAGTTATAATTTAAAACAAGTAATGAAAGGCTAAGCTCGGTCGTAACCGAACATTTTATACTCTTGCAACGAGCCAGGAGTAAAAGCAGGGAAATACCTTTAGGTACATAAGGTTTGTTAATACAACGAAAACCAATATATGTAGTTTATGGTAGTTTGGGTAATTTATGGACCAATTTCACATATATTCTGCATTAAACTATAGTATATCCAATATTATATTTCGCTAAGGTATATTACATATTTGCCAATATGTGCGATATAAAGTCAGCCGGTAGGGCAAAAACCTTACTGTTAGGTATATATATAGACCGATATTTCCGCTAAAATGTTCGCTGTAGGAACTGGGCAACACATTCGATATCTGGGGGCTTGAATAGTTTTAGTCCGATTTGGACAATAAGGTGGCGCTTCGTGCAAAGTATTCGGGCAAAGTTTTATCCAGATACATTCACAGGTGCTTGATTTGCATACTAGAATTAGATGGAATTTAAAATTGTGTTATATGGGAAAACCACGCCTGTTTTAATCCGATTTTGGTAGTGGTCCGATTACGACCATCTACGAACTTTTTCTTTCTTTTTTTCTTGCCAAGGAACACGTGTACCAAGTTTCATTAGGATATATCAGTTTTTACTCAAGTTACAGCTTGCACAGGCAGAAGGCCGAACGGATAGATGGACGGACTGACAAGCATCCGGATTTCAACTCGCCTTGTCATCCTGATAATTTATTTATATATTTATATTATATAACACCATATCTATCTCGTCTAGACAATTACAAGCAATTAGTCTTATTAAATATAGTTATTTATAATTGGCACTGTGTTCCTTTGAGAATTCCGGGGGGATCTTCTCTGTCTCTCCTGTACTCTGTATACCATAGCCACAGCAACGCTCAGCCGGATCTCCTAGTAAATATATAAATATAGATATATATATAAAGTATAGTTAGCCAGATGTCTCGAAATCCTGATTATTAGTTATATAGGGGCTAAAGAAAGTTTTCGTCTGATTTTATCCATTTTCTGCACAAAGATACACTGTAATTAAAAAAACACGCTTTTTCAATTTCATTAAAATATTGGCCTATATACGCATCTGGTGTAAAGTGAATTGGAAGTTCGAAAATCTTTAATTAAGGTTTATGGGGGCTAAGGGAAGTATTGACCGGATTTAATCCATTTTTGACCCAAGGGTATAATATTGTCAAAGAAACATTTTCCCCGAATTTCTATATTATATCTGTTTAACCGGCAAAAATTCATCCATACGCTGGGGTCCACATATTCAGTATGTGGGGCTTGAACAGGTTTTGAAAATTTTTAGACTCGAGATGGCATACCTCAAAGGCATAAACACGGGAACTAGGTGTGGTTGTAGTTCGATTGCGACAATTTTTACAATTTAAAATAGAATCGTCAGGATAATGTTATGTACCGAATTGGGTTAAAATTGGTTAAGTAGGTTTGGATATATGTCATTTTAGCTAAATGTGGGCGGTGCCACGTCCGTTGTCCAATTTTGACCCCGGCTCCTATAAAGCCCTCATGTATCATCCTGGGTGTAAAATGTAATGTTGAATTGTCTCGCTTTTAGTAGTTTTTAGCATGACCGTGATATGGGGTGGTGAAGGTGGTGTTATAATCCGATTCTGTCCATTTCTACACTGTGGGAATTGGAGGAGCCACGCCTATTTTTATTAATTTTAAGCCCACAGTTGCCTCTTGCTACTACAAGCCCCTGTACCAAATTACAGTTTTATATCTGAGTTTAGTGCTTAATAATGGCATTTTATAGGTTTTCGATTAATGGCAATTTGTGGCCGTAGTAGTGGTCCGATTACGCCCATCTACGAACTCGTTCTCACTTTTTAGGCAAGGAGCACGTGTAACCAAGTTTCCATACGATATCTCAATTTTTATATGTATGATTAGGAAAACGTACGAGGTGTGTTCAAAGGAAAAGGTGAAGTTTGAGGCCTGTGTGCGAAGAAAATATCGAAACAGTGAAGAAAATTGTTCTTGAATAACGTCGAATCACTATTAAGAAAGTTGCAGAGGATGTTGGCATATCAATCGGCTCATGTCATTTAATTTTCTCGAATGTTTTGGGCATGAAACATGTGACACGAAGTTTGCTCTGAACTTGATAAATTTTGAGCAAAAGCAATGTCGCATTAGTATCGCTTAGGACTTTTTGAATGAAGTTAGGAAAGCGTTTGTCAGAATTAATGACATCCATACAGAATCAAAGAAAGAGCTGATGGACATACCGAAAAATGCATTTCTGAAGTGCTTCGAGGATTGGAAAAAGTGTTGGCAAAAGCGTCTTACCGAGGGAGATTTCTTTGAAGGGAAAAATAGATAGTGATGAAAAAATAAATACTTTTCAAATAAATTCAAAATTCACCTTTTCCTTTGAACACACCTCGTATATGGCTTTGGTTGAAATCTGGTCTGTTAGCAGAAGTATTCTGTCGCCTTAGTATGTAGGGTTGAAACTCTGCAGATGTGGCTTGTGGGTTCAAGCCAAGGCTGCCTCCGTCCCGTTAATACCCGGACAGGCCTCGGAATAGGTCAGCATTAAGTTGGTGTGGTATGTGCTAGTTCAGGCCTATTAGCCTGTCCTCGCTTTTGTTGAACACGTGGGGAGAGGCTTATGGACTTGCACATCAGGAGCAGTATACTGATAGTAATGATATTAGGGGCTTAATATGCCTAAAGCTACGGCAGGAAGGTAGATACTACCGTTGTATTATGACTGAAGGGAGCACTTATGCATAAGAAATATGCGGTGGGGACTTTTCTAGACATTGAAGGAGCCGAAAGTAGTCATTAGTGCTCTGGAGAGGTTTGAGGTCGAATCGAACCTTTTGCATCTCATATATTGCCTTCTTTGCGACAGAACTGTCGTGGCGAAGTGGGGCAGTGCACGTGCACTACGAAAGGTCAATAGAGCTACCCCGTAAGGTGGGGTGCCTCCTTTACTATGGATCTTAGTGATTAATGACCTCTTGAAAAAACTCGAGGAACGAGGCTGTTGGCGCTGATATCGCTTAGCTGTCAATCCAAATAAAACTGAACTGATTTTTTTTCAAGCGGTATAAAATCCAGGATGTACACCTCCTCTCTCGACTTCCTCCTGTCGAAAAAGTGAAGTATTTGGACCTCATTCTTGATAAATAGCTATCATGGAGCCCAATGTTGAGGAAATCATTGGGGGGCTCTCGACTTTACTCTGCCGAAAAAGTCAAGTATTTTTACCTCATTCTTGATATAAAGCTATCATGGAACCCAAAATTGAGAGGAAGGCATTGACTGCTTTTTATTATCGTGTGGGAATCGGTAAGGTATCTAACCAAAAGTTGGTTTGGCTTTTCAAAACCGTGGTTAAGCCAGTACTGTTCTATGTTATAATTTTCTGGTGGAGCGAGAACGTGATCAGCGAGCGACTCTTATTGGTATCAGTGATGCACAACCAACAACACCAATTATGGCTCTTATGCCATTCTACATATATATAGCATGGGTGGACATAGTCGAAAGGTGCTTTGCCTCGAAGGTTGCTATTAGACACATTAAGTGTCCCAGAGTAGTACATTTAGAAATCCTCTCTCACTTCGATTGCATCTCTGGTAACTAACTCGCCGAGCATACTTCTACTGCCATCTTCTCCACGCACATACTTCCAAGGGGTATGTGAGTCGGAGCCACTGGAGAAGAGGCGCAGTAAGTATTTCACGGATGGATCGAAGCTCAAGGGGAGAGTAAGAGAGAGAGGCTATGAGGCAGGCATTAGGCGCTTTGGCGACTTTCTTTTTTATCCATACCTAGGAGTTCTGGGCATCAAAAATTTATTAATCGATTTATGCTTCAGCAATAAATTTTAATAAATGCAAAATATTAATCGATTTATTGCCCCTATCGATTATTTAAATTTTTAATGTTAAAATAATGAAATAACTTCACTTAAAATTTATTTATTGATTATAACCGCATATATAATATTACTACACATATCACTTACAATTAGTTTTCAAGTACGATTGCAAAAACAGCAGTTTTGAAAGCTTTTTAGTTAATTTACTTCCGTTTATCGAAGATATTGCCCAAGATTTAAAAAAATGGACGTTCCGCGGTACAGATATACCAATCAAGTGCGAATATTTGTGGGAAAGCAAATAAAGTTTAGGATAAACGATCTTCATTTCTTCCCATGCCTAGACAGTGTTTCGTTTCAGATCTTGAGCTTGGCGATTCAAATAAAAGCTTAGCTAGTCTTGAGGAAATGTATCATTATTCTGCCTTCGCCTTGCTATGAACTAATGATTTTTGAAGGGCCGATACGTCAAAATCAATTTCCTTTGATGTTTCGCTTCCACTTTTAGTTTCGTGTCAATTTCATTTCTCAAAAACCGCATTGTTGAGGCAAGGACTTTAGGCTCTGCAAAATATATTTTTTTAAACCGTGGGTCGATCAGTAATAACTTGAATTGATTTACTGTGTATGAATATCTCGAAGCAGGAACCGATGCCACTTTATTACTGGCGATTGTCGCTAAAAAGGATCAATTTGCTTCCACATGTATTTGCTTCGAAAATCTCTAGAAAAAGGTTTTTACACTGAAATCAGTGATGTCACCTTAAAATTGGCAGAGTCTTTTTGTTCACAAGCAGAGATGCCGGATTGGCCAATTTTGAAGCGAGATGTAGCCCGAATTTTGATATGAAAAAAATGTTGTGATTAATTTAGTAATTAATCGATTAATGATTCGGTTAACCGAAACAGAAAATTCGATGCAATTAAATCGTTTTCTAAAGAAAAATACTGGATTAATACTAATCATTTGATTAATCTTGCCAACCCGAATCACACAGGACAGGCGTATCTAGTTCTTTAAGTGGGTTTATTCGTGGTATCACTAAAAATCAACCTATTTACGTAACTTAACCTAACCTAACCGAAATTAACAGTATAAAATCATTCAGTGTTGAACATTTGGAGGGCTAGGGAAGTTGCGTAAGCTTTATATTCTATATAACTATTTTTGGATTATACTTACGTTATATAGGATATATGGGGAAAGCAGAGATAATTTAAAATAACATTTTATGGGGAGTATGCGTAATCGTAACCCGATTGATATTTTGAAACTGTGCAAAAAGGACATAATAAGAGTCTTATGAATTGAATTTAGTTGAAATATATATCTAGACATATACCTATATATAGATGCTTATGAGATCTTTCAATTGAACGGATCTGTTATATGGTTGTAGGTATTAGTTTGCATTACAAAACTTTCGTAGTTTCTGTAATGTATGTACATACTCGTATATAAATTAAATTTATTCAAGATCATGGAAGATACTTTTTTATGAAAATGCTTTTGTTATAACAATTTCTGCTGAAATTTATGTTAAATTTGAGTTACGTATTTCAATTATTTACTGTGTTGTGGTAGTTTAAGTGAAAGGCAGCATCGCCATGCGGGATCTAGAACTAACATAAGTGCCAAGTTTTTTTCAAAGTAGGATAGTTTGATGAGGGTCATTGCTACATAATCCGAATATCCGAAATAAGTGAAAGAGGTGTAAAATTAAAAGCCGTTGTTGCTAAACAATTCTATGTGTAAAGGTACCAATTCTAAAAATTGCAACATATTTTAGATTTCATTATATGGAATTCATCTTGAAGTCTCTACTTTAACAAATTTTAAATCAGAACATGCAAAGCCATAATATACCAAATTATTAAATTTTTGAGCATTCTCCAGACCAGTTAAAAAATATAAGTGTGTAATTTGACAGAACCAAACAATGTGACAAAAAGAGAAACGGAATTGTTTTAATATGAAAATTAAAAGACAAAACCTACTATATACCAATGCAGCATTCCAATTAAGCGCGCTCTGGCGAACGGAGGCGAAACATATGAGTGTGTACTATACATGGAAACATTTACATATTTGAGTGTAATATCGAGTTGTGTATTGCCACCTGGCACGAATTAACGATGCGTTGGCAAAGTTTAATCTTTCGTTGCAATGCATTGCAGCTCTGACAACCAACCAAGCCGCCTTCAACAGACACCACAGGCGCGCCGCTCAAGTTTTCTTCGGCAACAATTCTCAACTCAATAGCAAGTATGCAAAATTATAGAACTGACATACATTAGGGTCTCTCTAAATATGCAAAATTGACAAAAACTATTGGATGCTACTCATTTTGAAACCATATAGGGTATTCACAAGGTGTTATATTGTGTCATATCGTCATATTGTTTTATTTTTTTATGACTGTCATATCAACACTGTTGTTGTTTCCCATGCAAAATTGAAATACGACAAATACAACACGCCGAGGTATGTTTTTTGAGTGTGCTATTCTATCAACTGTATCTGTTTACTTTTTTTTATTGTCAATTTCTTCAATAATATGTAAGGAAGCAACGATATTCAGGTAAATTAAGTTGAAGAAATGTGAAATGTTGTGGTTGCAATGTAAACCAAAATGCCGGCGGTTCAACATAAAGAAGCTTTAATTTTATTTTTGTCACTTTCTTATGGCATTTTTGTATTAATAATATACCAGCTGGTGAAGTGAAGAAATATAACAGAATATGACATACAACAATTAAGGGGTGCTCACAAGTGTCTCATTTTTTAAGACAATTGAAATACGACATAAGACATAAGACGAATCTTGTGAATTGCCGTAATAAATTCAGTGCTCGTTTTATAAAATTTACAAAAAAAATTGTACGAGAAATTCAGAATACTCCTTTACTGCTTAACCAGTTATAAGTTTTAAGTCATGAAAGTGTCAATTTGTTTTGTGTTAAGATTGATTTATTTTGAAAAGGGCTTAAAAAAGTTACGGGAATAAGTTTTTCTGAATCTTTTTATTCACTAAGGCCAAGAAACAATAGACGTTTTGAGAAAATGATCTCTCCTAATTTTATGAAGCATGGAATCCGAAGGTCCAATGCCTATTAATTGTTCTCTCTTTTTTAATCTATAAAGGATACCTTACAGCATACAGCATATTTATATATAAAGTTTAATCATGCATACTTATGTACATATGTACATGCATATATACTAGAGTGGAGCAAAAAAAATTAATCATTTCCTAGGTACTTCTAAGAAAGTATCTTTAAGTATGAGTTTTTAATTGTAAAGGAAAGGTCCTCCGGCTTACAGTTTTCTATTTCTTTTCTTATTATCAGATAGAATAATTCACATTTCGCTTTCAACTACCAAGAACCTATTTATCAGAGTACGAAGCGAAAAAAAATAACAATTTTTTGTACCCACCTTAATATATATTATATGTAAAACTTTGTATTTTTACGATACCTCAGTGGTTTCAGTTATTTGTTTGCAATCGCGCGAAAATTGCACGACATTGAAAAAAATGGTGGTAAAACTTGGAAGAGCGGAGGTAAAATATAAATACAATAAAATGAGTATTGGGGTAGTCAATGAGTGAGTTGGCATGCGATATCATTATCCACACGATAATGTTCCAATTGTATTAACTCTACTCTAAAACAAATGCCTTGATTGGCCGGACAACTTCCGGTTTGTGGTTCCACCAATTAATATAAGGAATCAAATTTGGTATGACGTGCTCATACTCGTATAAGGTAGAAATGAACCAAAAACAGATGGTAAACATATCTGAATTCAAATAATGAGTTTTTCAGAAATTACGATAATTCCGCAAAAGAGCAAAGAAGAGTTAGCAAATTCAGAGATTTATGCATTTATTCTTTTTCGCAAAGTTACCTGTCGCTTGTTAATGTTGCCGGTTTTCTTGTACGTCATGAAGTCGAATCAGAAATCTGCACATAAACTCTCACGATTTATTAAATATCTCCATCGCCCTTTACTTTAATAATTTTTGAACATATGAGTAACACGTATGTTGAGTAACAAAGATATGCAAATCGGAGTAATAATAAATTAAGTTCATTTAAGATTGGGTTTCCAGAGCTTTAAAAAAATACTGTGATATAATTTGAGTACAATATTGAGCATCAAGGAGTAATTTATACAATAATTATTAGTAGTATACGACAATACACCACCAGATTGAGTTAATTTTTATTCTAAATTATCAAGTTTTCAAAACGTACTGATAAAACCTTCGATTTTTGATCCTTTGCATGAACTACCTACATTTATTTGAAAATGAGTTCAAATTCCTCACTAAGGGTACTCATATGGAGGACATTTGAAATTTTTGTTTTTTTGTTGTGCTATGGTAAAAACTGGAGCTTTCCAGGTTGTTCCCAAAAATAGTTGCGAAAATAGGCAGTCGCAGATGAGTAAGCATCTCCTTGTTTGTCCCCGTGCCATCGTGACCTTATCATTTGGAAATGGATGGTTTGGAAATGAATCTGTGTTTTGCATTTACGAAGGAACTTTACAATGGGATCCGAAGTATGCTAAAAATATAATACTGTAAAGCACGATGGGTCATCCCTGATGGTTTGGTGTTGCTTTATTACGCAGGATGTGGGTTCGATGTAAAAATTGATGGTTGAATCACTTCTGCTGCAATTTGAAGAATAATCTCATCTCTGGTCACTAAATCGAGCTTATTGAATAAAATATTAGGCGTATTAAGAGACCAGGCCATAGTTTCGATTTAAAACTCTTAAAACTAATGAAACCAATAAACACAAATGAGCTATATGCAAAATCAAATTAAATTTAGTTCATCATCAGATCCAAACGGTTAAATGATGTTTATTTACGATTACAAAATATTATTTCAATAACACGTGACATGTGAAGTGACGTATCAATATTCAATCACTAGTAGAAATTTAGTTTACCTGTTTGGATACTGTGAAGGTCAGTATTTGTCCACTTAATAGTGATTTTAAGAACAATAACAGGTTTGTTTTCAACTTCCCAATTTAAATGTCAAATGCCAAGAATCTTCAAGCCCATGAGAAGAAAAGTTATATATGCATATGAACTTCCGCATCTTAAAATAAAAAATACATAAAATTGTTCCACACATTTAGGTACTAATGTTATCTAAAACCTCACCCAGTGAGTGATGAAAAATATTGAAAATCCGTAACCGAAATCCGAGAATTTCAAGAACGCCTATAAAGACGCTGCGCCAACAACGGTGATTTGTGAGAAAACTTATGCTGTTGCATTGCTGGCGCATACCCTCGTTTAACGCCTGCCAACTTTCGAAGGTTTACTATATATGCTTCGCCAAGCAAACGACCAAATAGCCATCTAAACAACGAGTTAACCAAGCGAAGTACTGGCTGCCTGCTGGCCTCTTCAACGAATCGTTGCATGTAGTGGTTGCTTGCAGCGCGGTGTGGTGCCGTGAAGGATTGGTGCGTGCCAACATTATTGCGTCCATTAACCTCGTCATGCTGCCTAACCATAATTTTGGCCAAAAAATAGGAAAACAAAATGCGAAACACAGAACAAGAAACTAAAAAGAATTCTGTACTTAACAGCGCGTTTTTTTCTGACCGATTTTCCTATTCTCTTTTGAGAAGCAGCAGTCGGGTATATAAAAATCTTTAAAATGTACCAAAAATTAAAGAACGATGAAAACATCACGTTAACGTGCCCCTGCTGCTACAGCGTCAACCGAAATTGTGAAATGGATAT